AAGGGCTACTAAAAACGAGTCATTTATATTAATATTAAATTGTAGTGGAACTCAAAGGATACTTTTTCATCTAACTGTACACAAATTTTAAAGGTGGAAAAAAGGTTACAAAAAAACGTAAAAATTGTGAAAATCCTGGTCAGAAAGAGACAAACTATATGGTAGTAAGATAAGATTCGGTAAGCATATAAATAAACTTAATTTGATAATTACATGTGTCCATGCTGATAAAGTAAATTAGGTTTATGGCTGAACATAACTGATTTTGTTTGCGAATTAGTGGAGAACCGAAAACTTAAAGTTAGTCAGGGAAAACATTCTCTTTATTACTTAGAATATCTGTCGCTTTATTTAGACTGCATTTCATTATTTAGCTTGACTAATGAAAATATACACGTCATAGAAAACGGAAAATGATATCTCTATACATTTCAGACTTATCGCTTTATTTTGGGTTTAGGATTCACACATACATTTATAAATCTAAAATATTTATTCAAGAAAATTAAATTATTTGATTAGTAGCAATGTTTTTAATTAGGAAAGTCCATAAAAAAATAGCTCAAAAGATCCGAAACTTCTGAACAGACTGAGCTATGTAGACCCCAAAGTGGGATTCTGAGTAAGAATAAAAAACAAAATCATAAGCTAAGACAAAATATTTCTACAATGAAACAAAATTATTGTTTCTTATAAAAATGAGCACAGAATAGATAATTTAGCTTATTCATATATTTATTGGCAGTTTCTGGACAGGAAGACCTTTCCAGTGGACGATATACTAACTTGCTTCGATCACGGCCTTGCCCGCCAGCCGTTGGTTCCTTTTGCGGATCGCAGAGCGAATTATGAGCAGCATAACTCCGCAAAGAACCACAGCGAATAAAGAGCACAGGACGATAGTAGAGGTCTCCACATCCTTCTCGCCCGGAACATGCGGCATCTTTTCGATGGCAGGTGTAACTATTTATCAACGATTACTAACTAATAAATTCGATTGGCAGGCAGTCTTTAGGATTGTTCGATGAGTATAGAATCTACGCCACGGTTTTGAGAAATTGCGATGTGTTCCCAGTGTTCATTGCGCAGACGTTCAACGATTATTGCAAACTGGATGAGCTTCCTCGTCGACTTTTGTAACAGTCCAGAATGTCTTTGCATTTCCACAGACCCGAAGGCAGTTCAAAGCAGTGCGTTAAGGCCCGATAAGATTAGCACCCTTCGCTGTATCTGTGGTGACGGTCTTCGCGTTTAATCGGCTTGAAGACGCCATATAGTCCTGATACCAGTTCTAAAAGCTAGCATAGATTCGGGGGGGAGCCATAAAAATTCTCAAGTGGACATCGTGTTTACAGCTTGAAACCTGCGTCAATAGTCCGCATCAATCAAAAGAAAAATTAGGTTTCGATTTTGAAATTTATTACTCTTGGGGATTCTCAGCCTGATGCGATTACCGTCTACGGTGCTCAAAAATCTCCGATCGTCACTGACGTCAGTAGGAATCAAAGATTTAAATTATGCCTATCGAACCAAGCGTAGATGGTAAAAACTTGAACCGAGAAGGAAAAAGACCGGTCGATAGACTTCTCTGCAGAAACAGGGTAAATGAAAGTCTGTCTCAAGTACTGAAGCAATAATTATGGAAAATCTGCTTAGAAGTATCCGATTTCTAAACATCGGATTGAAGTGAGTTGTTTTATAAGTGCAGACATCCTGGGACGGCTTAGTCTCAGTGAAACAATAGCCTATTAAGTACTGTCAAATGTAGTTCCAGTATATTATTCCAAAAACAATTCCAGTATATTATTTCACGTAATTACAACATTATTCTTATATTATATTTATAAATCATGACATAATTTACAATCAATAAACCCTAGCTACAGCTGTGAAATCTTTACTTTCCAACCTCTTTAACAAAAAGCCTCCTGTTTAATAAAATTAACCAAATGTCAGTTAAATTTTAAGTAAACGAGATGTTATTTTTTTTGGATTCCTGTGAACCTTGTCTATACTATTTGTGAGCACCTAATCAACTCCCTATCCCATTTCATCTAAAGGAAGAATAAAGAACATTTGACGTAAAATCATTGCAAACGTTTGTGTGCGTCAGAGTCCTAAAATCTGTATGCTTAATCCCACTTTTTAGTGTTTATAGTTTCTTCGGACTTGGTAGATCGAATTGGCTAGTTATCCTGATAAAGAATATATACAGTGGGGAGCTGTTGACTGTTCGTGCGCTTAATTAAATTTGTATCCAAGCAATGGAACCTATATTATTTTTGTTTATTCTTTCAATATTTATTAAAAATTCTTATAAAAAATATAATAAAATGAAATATGAAAAACATAATAAGCTCGCATGTACTCAGTTTAGGTAAAACTAGAAAGCAAGGTAGCTTCGGCAAGCTGAAGTTTATATACCCTTTAAGGTCGATACCGTAGGAGATTGTATCTACAGAGCTTTCCGATTTTAGGAAAACTAATTTCAGAAGAAGATAATGTTTCATTTAAATTTACTACCGTAAATAAACGAAATATAACGGTCTGTGTAATATTTTTACATTACCTTCTCGATCGTTTTTACGGCAGGAATATGATAAAGTCGTCCGATTATTTTAAAATTTTATTCAAAATTCTAGAATTTTTAAAGAATGATAGTCCCAAGAGTAGAAGCTATTTTGTCAAAAAACAACGAAGTTATAATTTTTTACATTAAAAAAAATGTTTATAGATACTTCCTCTGGGAGCTACAGGATATAGCGATCAGAATGATCTATACTACCTGCAATAGGAAGAAGACTTTTGCGAAGGTTTTATCCCGAAAGCTTTAAAACTCAGAGACTAGTTTGTGTAGAAACGGACACACGGAAGGACGGACATGTCTAGATCGACTCGTCTAGTGATGCTCCTTTACTACTCTCTCTCTCCTTCACTGAGTTGCAAACTTCTGACTAAAGTCATTATACTGACGCAATGGTATACAAAATAAAAAAAAAGGTTATGGGTTGATCCGTTTAATTAAACGGGCCAACAGTCAATATCTGCAAACATCTAATCACTTTTGCTCCCCACTTTACATTTACTTTATAAGGTCGGAAACGCTTTCTTCTTCCTGTTACATCCTTTTTACTCTACGAGTAACGGGTATAACTAGGGATTTGATCGATTTAAATGGCGACTTGGACATGAAGCACTTATGATTAGATTTTGATAGCCTAGCTGTCTCAAGCGAATCGGAGATAGGACCGTCGATCATCACGCGACTTTTATTTAATAACTTGCCTACACCGGCAGTGATCACAGTTGAGTTACCCATTCGAAGTCGACGGGCTCGACGAACCCGCAACAGGATCAATATCAGAATCAATATAAAAAACACCATCAAAATGGGGAACCACACATCGAAGTATATGTAAATCATTTTGAAAGTTTTTAACGAGGCGTTCGGTTTAAAAGTCAGAGGAATACTACAAAGTGTAACTTGCTATGCCATGGGAACGATTGTCAGTTACTTATCTATAAAAATTCATCATTTCGTTATCAAACGAGCGCTACTGAAAATGAGTCATTTAAATTAATATTAAATTGTGGTGGAATTCAAAAGATACTTTTTTATCTAGCTGTACACAAAGCTTATTGGTGGAAAATCCTTGTCAGAAAGAGACAAAACATATGGTAAATAAGATAAGATACGGTACGCATATAAATAAACTTAATTAGATAATTACTTGGACACATGCTGATAAAGTAAATTAGGTTTATGGCTGAACATAATTGATTTTGTTTACGAATCAGTGGAGAAGCGAAATCTTAAAGATAGCCAGGGAAAAAACTCTCTTTATTATTAAGAAGATCTCTCGCTTTATTTGGACTGCATTTTATTATTTTGCATGACTAAGTATGTAAATAAACAAGTCATTTTTTGGCTTTACTTATTATTTAGCACAATTTGGCACGAAACAATACAAGTGATAGGATTTGTATATACTGACTCGCACACACATCCATTTAAAAATGTAAAATTGTTTTCAAGCAAATTAAACTCCACCCTCTTTGTTGTGGTGGAAAAATGACTCATAGGGGGTTTATTTGATTAATAGCAATATTTGTATTTCTACTTACTTGACAAAACTGCACCCTGGCGTCTGCTGGTACAGCAATATCCACAGAAACTCATGATGAGGAAAGTGAGCAGGAAAAACATGAAAATACCCCAGAAATCCATTGCGCCTTCGATATCCTCCAATTCGAATTCCTCCACTGGGCAGAGAGATTAAATCATTTATATATGTAGCTATACTTTTTGTGGTTACTCACGCTTGGCTTAATGTTACTGTTTATTCCGGCTTTTGAATACTTAAACTCGAGAATTCCACTTGTTGCAGTTAGTGCATAAAAAATGCACTGCTAAATTACCAGAATTTAATTATTTTCCTGAAGCACACGTGGAATTCAGCAAAATATCACTTAGCTCCTCAATCGAAAGGCCCTAATTGAAGCCTGATCGGAATTGGCTATAAAATCTTATCAGCAGCTAATCTGCAAATAATAAAATATAGCACGATAACAAGTTAAGAACAGTGCCGTCAAGTGTGTGAAACGTTTTACAGCACTGCGAAAGATGTGTCTAGTGCGCAATCGATAGAAAGCAATCGATAGAGAGTTCACTAAACACAGCCCAGTGTACCTATCGATTCCATTTGAATGGCAGAAATATTAAACAAAATAAAGACTTAAATAATTCAAAATGGTATAATACTTTTATAAACATATTAATAATTCAAAAGAGGTTTAAATAATTTATTAATCCAACAAAAAGTTTATTAAGTTTTAACCTTCTTAATTCTAAATATGCATCATAAGATGTTATTAATCCAGAATTTAGTTCGTATTGTAGGTAACAACTAGCAACGTTTTTTAAAAACTTAATTTAAACTCCTTAGCGCGCCATTGTTGCCACCTCGTAAGCTATCGATAGTCAACACTCACGTTTAGTACTTCCTACCAGTACTACTCACATATACATACTGCTTTTGCCATTTTTATCATGGCGATTTCTTTTTGACATTTGACTACAACTGGGCGCACGTGTTTTCGGGCAAGGCTCTGTGCTAAATTATAGTAAAATCAAAGTAAATATCAAATTGTACGGCGTTTGACTGGGGTGTTACTAATCCAAATTTTGTGTGTATTCCGTTTGGCAGATGAATCCGGAGAAGCTGAAGAAGTTGCAGGCGCAGGTGCGCATTGGCGGCAAGGGAACCCCCCGCCGCAAGAAGAAGATTGTCCACTCCACGCCCGCCACCGACGACAAGAAGCTGCAGTCGTCCCTGAAGAAGCTGTCGGTGAACACGATCCCCGGCATCGAGGAGGTGAACATCATCAAGAACGATGGCACCGTCATCCACTTCAACAACCCGAAGGCCCAGGCCTCGCTTCCGACGAACACGTTCGCCATCACGGGTCATGGCGAGAACAAGACGATCACCGAGATGGTCCCCGGAATCCTGACGCAACTGGGCCCCCAGGACATCAACCAGCTGAAGAAGCTGGCCACGGAGATTGCCAACAAGAACGGCGCCGGCGGCGCAGCCGGTTCTTCGGCCGCCGATGCCGGTGACGACGATGTGCCCGATCTGGTCGAGAACTTCGAGGAGGTGGCCATCGCCGGCACGAAGGAGGAGAAGTCCGGTGAGGTTGCTGCCTCCGCTTAGGCAGGTCCAACCCCATCCACTTGGACAAATCACACACCACACCGAACACAAAAACACATACAAAACATACGGCCAGGGAGCAAAACGAAGGGGCAGGCATACAGGACACACGCCCCAGAAGCCGGAATCACACCAACCGTAGTACACCTACCACTCCCCAATTCCGTACCCCAAAAGGGAACGGAACCACTCCGGACTCTGGCCTTCTGCCCTGGATGGGCCATCCTTCGTGCTCCCTTCAGCCACTTTTTGGGGGTCATGCTACACACTATACTAAAATACAAAAAATAAAGGCATCCGAGTGAGCGCTGAACAGAACACATAAGCATAATAACTATACTTAACATACTAAGGGAACCCTTCAATCTTAATCTAATAGTAATAGTTTGGAACCGTCAAATGTATTTTCCAATGCGATTAAAGCACGTTTCCTTAACCAAAAAACCACAGTCCAAACAACACACACATTCTAATTTTTGCCGCCCTCCCAAAAACATACACACAAGATGTATCTATAGAAATATGCGCTCGTAATACACACTATATATATACGGTTTTCGGAAGAATTTAAAGCGAGGTGATTAGGGGAAAACGCAGACACTCCAGAAGAAGTCATTGCCAGGTCGTGAGACGGAGGAATATATTTTTAGCACTAGCTCTTACCGATTTTCCCGAATTTCCGACTTTTCGATGTAACCCCGACCTCAAACCATCCTCAATTCAAAACGTAAACAAGATGAAACCATAACTAATTGATTTCGATTCGAGAATGATGTACCAAAATTGTTGAAAACGTTTTTATAATTTGTAAACTATTGTTTTAGACCATCATACATGCATTACATTAAAAGAACTGTAAAAAACATACGAAATATCCATATTTCTCGCATTTCCTTGCTTGTATTATTTTTTGCTTGCATAATCGGCATGTGTGTGAGTGAGCCTGTGTGTGTATGCATAGCAACGCGTTTGTGTGAGGTTTAAAAGGGGTGGGAGGGGCGGTGTAAAAAAGCACGCGGCAGTCAAAACTTGACATTGGGAATAAAAACTTAAAAACCCAGATGTTAGACAGCCCTCCTCCAAGAGGAACTTTAACCCGTTCAAAACATCATAATTATCTGTCCAAATCCAAAGGTGAAAAGTCAGAAAATGCGGTGTATCTTTATGCTTGTATTCGTGTGTTTCGTTTCGAAAATCTTCCATGAGTCACGTTTAAATTGGCTTAAAATTGCGATTAGACCAGTTCAACGGGAATGTTTCTTGAAGTTTCTTCATGTATGTGCATAAACAAGCGATTGCGGTTTCTTATCACTTTTCAACGACCCATAATAACATATTAAGGTTAATTCAAAAGCTGGCGTTGCTATCAGTAACGAGGTCATGTGGAACACACAAATGCTATTGGATCTTAAAAAAGGGGTACCTTAATTAATGTTTATTAGGTGTCACATCGGCTTGATATTTGCTTTGATTTTAACCAATTTAAATTTGCCGGTTGGCCTGCCAACTCGATTTAAACTGTATCACTATACATGGTTAAAAATAATATATATCGTTAATGTTAAATAAAATGGTAAAATAGCCCTTTGAATGTTTTAGGTGTAAAAATAAAATACAAAAATCTACAGATTCTAGACTACTGATTGGAAATTAATTTTAAATACACATGGAAAAAAGTGATTAAATCTCCTAGTTTACGCTAGTTATGCTATTATGTAAAATACCCCTTTGAATGTTTTAGGTGTAAAAATAAAATACAAAAATCTACTGTTTTTAGACTACTAATTGGTAATTAATTTTAAATACACATGGAAAAAAGTGCTTAAATCTCCTAGTTTATGCTATTATTTTTTATGCATTTTATTATATTACATAATATATACTTGGAACCCTTTACTTACACAAAATTTTAAGAATGTATCTTAGGAATTTATATAAATCCACAAGACTTCTAAAATTCACAACCACTGTAAGCCCTATACAAACATACAAAACGCCAGCGTTGCCAGATTGGAGATATTCTAGAGCCGCCACAAAATAAAATCAAATTGATATTTGCAATCTTTAATCGGATTTACTATTTAAAAAACTTTTGACTAAAGAGTACGCATTTCCTTTTTACAAATGCTACATACAACCTTGCAGGCAATTCTACCGGAAACAGGAGTGTCCACGCGGTGGAATGCTGGTGTTCCGGGTTCAGGAATAATCCTCTTCTGCGGATTCACCCTGATATTGCTGGGTTTTCGCTCGCTCTCCACGCAGCAGCAGAGGAGGAAACTGAGGGGCACTGCCTCGCCTTCATCCAAAGTCTGGGGAAGATTGCGGTTCCGGGTCTCCGGCAGCAGAAGACTGGCGAATCCTCCCAGGATCAGCAGAGCTCCCATCACAATTAAAGGCAGGACTAGCATTTGCTGGCCCTGCAATGAAAAAGGGTGATATTTATGGGATGGTAAGAAAATCCCCGAATCTTCACTCACCATATGGTTAATCATTGGAATAACTATTGGTCCCACCATAGCCACCACCGAGCTGAAGCTCATGCCCAATCCCCGCACCACCGTGGGATATAATTCCGATGCCAGGAGCGGCAGGACCACAAAGGACGAACTAATACCCATCTTGCCAACGCAGTAGAGCAGCAGCGTGATGTTCGGAAAGAGGAACGTGGCCACGCAGGCCACTCCGCCCACCAGCATCGAGATGAACAGGATCCAACGCCTTCCGAAGTAGCTCAATCCCGGCCAGAGCAGCAAATATGTGGGCAGTTCCACAGCCCCTGCCAAGAAGAAGTTCCAGATCTCATCGCCTCCAAGAGCAGGAGCATAGTAGCTCAATCCCACGTAGACACTCGTGTTGGCAAACCAAATGAGGGTGATGATCAGGGTCTTCCGACGCATATTGGGGCCCCGGAACAAGTCCAGAATGCCGTAGTGGGTACTCGAAGATGATTCCGATTCCGAAGCTCTTGTGCTGGCCAATTTCCGCTGCAGTCGCTCCACAAAATCTCGGTTCACACGCACACCGTTCACTCTGGCCATCACCTTGAGGATTTTCATGGCCCTCCTGGTCTTTCCCACGGCCATCAGCCATCTCGGTGATTCCGGCAGCACGAAAAAGCAGGAGAAGAGCATGAGCAACGGCATAGACACTGCCAAACTGAGTTCCCGCCAATCGCGGACCACATAGATAACTCCGGCCAGCACCACCAAGCCCAAGGAGTAGGCAATATTTGAGACGATGGTGCAGAAAACTCTCCTCTCCGGACCCACCAGCTCGATGGCTAGGACATAGGGACTGGCCAGGATCGCGGGCACCGTCAGACCCACCACGAAGCGCAGTCCCAACCATGTGTAATAGTTCCAGGCGAAGGCACTAGCCGCACAGGCGGTGATCTCAAGCATCAGATAGGCGTAAAAAGAGGGTCGCCTGCCCCACAGATCCACTAGGTATCCAAACACATAGTTACCCAGGAGTCCGCCAACACCGAAGACCACGAGCGCCAGGGTAACCAGGAAGCTACGGTCGCAAACCAGGTTCCACTGCAAGGGGAAAATATAAGATTGCTCTTAGGATATGTATATTATTGCTTATAATCGTGAGTACTCAAGAATATCCTATAAGTTACACAAAATGATTCTTTACTAGGGAAACCCACCTCTTGAACCACTGTGCTGGAGTAAATGGATTTGTCGTAGTGCCAGCCATGCTGACACGGCACCACTTGCGCTGTTTCCGGCTGCAACTTAAGCAAATCCTCGGCTTGTTGACGAACCAAGTCCGGAGGCGGTCGGTACTCCAAATAGCGCACTATATCACTGTAATTCCTGGCGAACATGGAGCACTCGGCAAAGGCCCCATTGCGATTACGCGGAATGCTCAGGTTCTTTACCAGCTGCACGTAGTCCTGCGTCCACGGCTCCAACTCCGGAACTCGACAAAAGTGCTGCGGAGTAGCCGCTATGAACAACTGGCTACGAAAGTATTATATCATTCAGATTTACTGATAACTATTTACTATTTACGGCAAAAATGTTGTCTTTTGTGTTTATAAGAACTAAGCTATTAATCTGATTATGAAGGTTAAATATATTAATATAACATATTTAGGAATTTAAAAACTATAAACCGATGTAGGTATTTAAAAACTATTTATTAACCGCCTTAGGAGTTTTTAACTTTTGTCTTATAGGATCGATTAAAACTCTTAGAAACTCAACCGGATGACCAACCTATAGGCGTGGAAGGCGCAGGGCAGCGCGGCGGGCAATAGCACCGAGCAGATGATGACCTTCTGGTAGAGCCCAAAGGAGCCCACCTCCCGCAGCACCTCGTCGAAATCCATGTCCGCCCGTTAGCCAGACGCTCGCACAACTGACGATCGCGCCGATCACCTTGTCCACATCCAATCCAGTCCAGGAACTGGCGGCGCTGCAGGGGCTGATTGAACATAATTACATTACGGCCACTCGTGCGCATTAATTAATTGGACACCGCGGCGTGGACAAGGTTCGAACTAGTTGAGCGCCCCGATTCCAACCAAAATCCCAAACCCAAGCGAGATCTCTACTACGTAGGGTTATCTATAGTTAGTCGGTCTGTATTTCTTGGTGGCTCAGGTGGCACTGGACATATAAAATTAAGTTAAATATCTCTAAAACTGAAATGGGAATTATGGATCATCATGACTTGTCTAACTGCGAGACAATCCGATGATGGTCAGTATGTACATGAAGATGTTGATGATGTCCAGGTAGAGGTTGAGGGCGGCGAAGATGTACTCCTCCGGACTGATGGAGTACTTATGATTGCCACCCAACATCAACTGGGTATCGTATACCAGGTAAACGGAAAAGAGCACCGCTCCGAGGGAGGCATAGACCAGTCCGATCACCTTGCCAGGGAAGCAGATGGCAATGATTCCGAAAACGATGAAGACCACCAGACAGGCGACTAGGACTCCGCCGCACATAGTAAAGTCGTACTTGGTCTGCAGGGCAAATAGGGTGAGGCCCAAGGCCACCGCCGCCGTAATTCCCACTGCCATCAGGACCTCATAGGCCTCGTACTGCCCGGCGACCATTCCCAGGAGGAAGGACTCTGCGACCGTGAACAGGAAGAGGAAGATGAAGTTCAGAGGCGTCTTACGACGAACACCTTCGCAACAGGCCATGGCTATCATGGTCACGATAAGAACGACCTGCACAATTCAGATTTGTTTGTTAATATAAATAGAATATTTTATGTAATAAGTTGTAAGAACTCACAAGTGCTATCCAAAACAGGGCTGGATTTTTTTGCACCCATTCCTGAGAGGCTTTCGAGAAGGTGAAGACACTAACAAAGCCGAAAGTGATCAGCAATTGGCACTACAAATCAAAAAAATTTCTTAGATTAATGCATCAAAATTAATTGTATATCAATAACACATAAGAAGAGAATATTGTTCTCAATATCAAGTCTTTCCTATTTTTGTGGTTTCTCTAAAAGCTCTTCTATGGCATATTTTTAAACTAATTTTCTAATAATAGGTATGCCAAAGAGTGTAACTGATAAGCAAGTACTGATCCTATAGTTTAAGGTGATTTACGAATGCTTATAGAGTCGTTCAGATGATTCCAAAATATTTTCGATCCACGCTTTTAGTAATGTAATATTAGGCAATTATGTCCTTATGGAAACCTATCACTTACCATCAATATCAGGTAGACCTTCCGGATGAAGCCCTTCCGGATGCTCTGGTCATCGAAGGCGAAGCTCTTGTCCGCCTCCGCATCTGTATATGTGCCAGTTTCATCGCCTGTGGGGTTGGAAGACAATTCAAGGAAAAAGGAAAGTTAATATGATGACTAACCGTACTGAAAGTGGTTGTCGCTGCTCATGGCTAAATCGCTATGACTAAAGTAATGGTACTCTCTCTGCTCGACTGCCGGCAACGTGCCAGTATTTCAGCTTATTGAAACCGAATCGCCCTTCTATGTGTCCCCATATGGCCGACAACTGAAGATTAGCCGGTACCTAACTCTTATCAAAGCCATACACTCACACTCCAGATAAGATTCAACATTGATGTGGGTGAGTAAATGATATTGCCACCACACAATTTTAAACACGGTTGTGCACTCTCCCTTTAAGTAGGTGAATCACAGTATTGAGCCATATACATAAACCTTTTTTGCTGTCTTATCAGATGAAAGTGCCTCGAGAGATATTTTTCTAGCCTTTTTCAGAGAGAAATCAGTGCAGTTGGTTGGTAATATACTATAGCCAAGTCGATTATCTAATCTAAAACACTTTTCCGCAGCCCATTTCGTTCGGTTTATCCCAATCCGGGTGGTACTTGCCTTGCTGGTAGTGATACATTTTATGGATACGCCTTGCTGCAATTCACACGAACTACTGAACAGGTGGCCAGGTCAAAAATATGCTATGGGGCCAACCCGAAAATTAAAACACCCCGCCTTCTAGTTGTGGTGGTGCAGATAACAACGTAAACTTAAGCAATGATAAAGCAGAAGGTAGACGATAATGGTCTAGACTATGGAAGTAATCCAACCACCGGCAATGCTCTCCCGTTGCACACTAAAGCTGCATCTGGTGGTAGCTGGCTCGTTGAACTGGATGAACCACTCGCGGAAGCCCCACAATGCTGGGGTCTGTGGCGGCTTTAATAAATAGATGCGCTTTATTGTTGACTTTAAACTCAGTGTCGCTGCACGGTTTACAATGTTCGGTACTTGATTCATAGTTGCAAAAATCGGGATTCCTTGGTTATTACACACCGTTAAATGTTATGTTCTAACAACAGCAACCATGTTGCTTATATATTTTCAAATAAATATGCTTTATACGTGACTATTTATTGTTGTTTTGTGTATCTCAATGGCATATCATTTGGTATACATATATCATAATTTGTTTGGAATTTTGAAATAATCGCCATATTTGGGACCTTAACTTAGGCAACAAATAAATAGACATAATACATACATCCCGAAAACAAGTTAGCTAATTTGACTGACATTTAGAACTAGAAGTAAACCGGAAATTGGAAACACAACGCGAAGTAGATAGATCGTAAGTATAGAGTAATTCGTTAGTTGAAGATTTCCTCCACTGGGTGAGGTTGTAAATACCAATGAGATTACGCGAGAACAATATTCGTATTCTGGTTAAACTGTACATAATATTTGGAAATAGAGCGTAACTTAGTCGCGCGATGCGCCTATTATAGTCAGAATGTACATGAAGATATTGATGATGTCCAAGTAGAGGTTCAGCGCCGCAAAGATATACTCCTCAGGGCTGATAGAGTACTTGTGCTCTCCACCCATCATGAGCTGGGTATCGTAGATGAGGTAAACGGAGAAGAGTAGCGCACCAATCGAAGCATACACCAGTGTTATGATCTTGGTCTTAATGAACATGGCCACAATGCCGAAGATCAGGAACACCACCATGCAGGCGATCAGAATGCCGCCCATCATAGTGAAGTCGTATTTGGTTTGCCAGGCAAAGAGTGTTAGAGCCAGACAAACCGCAGCCGTTATGCCCACCGCCAAGAGAACCTGAGAGGAAAAGGATATTTTGATTATTATAAAAATTCTTCTGGGTACATTATCCCAGGTGCTTACCTCCTGTGGCGCATATCTGGTGGCCGAGACGCCCATTAAGAACGATTGAGCTAAGGTGAATAAGCCAAGGAAAATAAAATTCGTCGGTGTTTGGCGACGAACACTTTCGCAGCAAGCCATGGACAACATGGTAACTAACATCACTGCTAGGGCAACCCAAAAGAGCCACATGTTCTGGCTCGCGAATTTCTTAGTGCCCTGGTGAAACACAAATAGCGCAACAGCTCCAAAGGTGACGATGAGTTGACCCTAAAAAAAGAAAACCAAAAGCATGAATTAGGAAATACATTTTGCAAAGATTAAAAAGCAGCTTAGTAAGTTCAATAACAAGAAAAAGCACAAATAATATAATCTTCATAATTTGAAATTGTTTTGATTAGTACGCACATCAATGCAAATATACAGGCGTGATATTAAAGAGACAATCATTTCGTATCGACTTTTTCATAATCCTGTGACACGGTAATCTGTTCCAACAAAATTCGGTGTAAGTTGAAGCGTACATCTACACAAATTTCCCCCTCTTTGGTTGGAAGTGTGTCTATACACATTCTTGCGAAGCTGTGTTATCAGAAAATCCGCCTGAATTCCGTCCAAAGAGGTGTGTGTGAGCCCCCGTCTATCTTGTGGTATGAACACTCACCATCAGAATCAGGTACACCTTGCGTATGAATCCGCGCCGGATGCTCTGGTCGTCGAACGAAAAGTTCTTGGGTTGGCTCTCCGGATCATCGTAGGCTCCATAGCCGCCGGCTGATGGTGGTGGTTGGATGAACCCCGGCTGGGGGGCATAACCGCCAGGTGGAGGACCCTGACCGTAGGGCTGCGGATAGGGCTGGGCCCCTCCCTGGGCGTAGGGTGGATAACCCTGAGGTGGCCCTTGAGGTGGGTAGCCTCCCTGGGGCGGATATCCACCGCCGCCATATCCTCCCTGAGGCGGATAGCCTCCGCCATAGTTGTACTGTTGGTTGGGATCTGTGGAATAAGACATCTCCCTTTAATTCGCTTAAAAAAAAAAGAAGATTCAAGACTTTCCGCTACAGTATTCTGTCTACCAAGAACTGTAAAATCTAAATGAAACGCTTCGCTGTGACGAAGAGATGCGTAAAACCAAGAAACAATCTCGAGCAAATATGTACATACAACCATGATAAGACGGGACAGATACTATATGTTAAGAGAGAAGTAATGGAAATGAATCAGAACTTAGGGAGGCTCTGGGCAATTGAAGGCACTCGACGAGTCGACAAGCCTCGGGGACAAACAAAAGCATGCGATTATAAACCGGATAAGCAGGAACACTCGCTTAGAAGTCAAAAGATTGAACCTTGGTATTGGGGGTACTGGGGAACACTTTGCCAGGACATTCTCGACGGACTTCGCTCAAGGGATTTCTAATTCCAAAACTGCTGTGGAGTAGATCCAAAAACATTTGGTTAGAAAGGCTTGTCCTATTTGCACTCACCTTGCATTGTTTCGATGGCTTTGTACCTGCAAAGAGAGATGATAACCAACCATTAGCTAATTTAATTAGCGACAAAGAAATGTAAAGTTTCTGGTTTTACTTTTCTGTGGCATGCAACTTTAATTATCAATCAATTTGGCACTTGCGTACTGGGCTGGGAAACTTTTGTCAAGTGTTGTTTGTTGTGGCCATATGACGTGTGCCTTTCAAGCTTTTGGGTATGCGTACTCCTAAAATGGCTGGGCCGTTTATTAACTTTACCTACACGTTGACCCGCGAGCTTATACGCTTTAATCTAGTCGCAGCTATTAAATTGGTTCAGCTGGAGCACCTCCCTCGCAAATAATACATACACACAGTTCGCTGTGGTAAAAATGGTGACTCACTCATTTACCAGCTTCTCGAAATTACCGGGAAGCACACGTTTCGAAATTCAATTGCGGCGTCTTTCGATCTTCCCACTACCCAAATTTTGGTCTTCGAATGACTAATTACCTCTGGATTCCGCTGTGATCCGATCTAAACAAACAAATGAGTGTTGTTTTCCTGAATAATTGTTTTTTTATGAAAATTATCAGAGATGCGCTTGCTGACGGTTATCGAAACGCAGATGTGTGACAATCGAAATGGGTGGGAGAATTTGTTCTCAGAAGGGTTCGAGTGATGCGAATATTTTTATCGGATTTGGTTTGAAAAAAAATTTTTGTTTCAATTCAAATCAAAATATTAAAACCATTAGGGTATTTCCTAAACTGTTAAATTGATTAATTTTTGTCAGCTGTTTATCAGCTGCTCCATAGTTAAAACCACAGTTGTCGCCTTATTTCAATAAAAATATGCTTAGGGCCACAGTAGCTATAGCTGCAAAAAGGAAAAATAGGTTATTGGTAATTTGTAATTGACTTCTTAAATGAGAATACATAAATTGACTTTCATGGTCTGTCATATTATTTTGAACAAAAGACTTGTTACCAAACTTAAATGGGTTTATTTTAAAAGCTAAGATATGTAATTTTAGAGGTGAGCAAATTGAATTATTGCTATCGACATTTCAATGTGATATACAATACTTTTCGTAACTGTTATCGTTATGTCGATTAGTTCCACAATGTGATAATCGATGGTGGAAAAAACAAACGAGTGCATCGATACTATCGTCGATAGTTTTTCAGCTCTACGGGAAAGTATAATTGATAGATAATTCCACGGTCACACTGACGACAACAAAATAGGAAAATTAACTTTATTTATTTATTTAGGCTAAGAAAATAAGGGCTGCGAAATGACTGAAACTAAGGCCAATCCCTTCGACATGGATAGCTCCAGTTTCGATGCGGAAAAGTATCTGGAAAGGCTGCTGAAGGTGGGAAATTGGATTTGCTAGACTAAGATGCAATAATTTGCCTTATGTTTTGCATATTAATCATCAATTTAGGATTGTTCCCTAAGGCAAATTATGGATACGGAGGCGGCAGTGGTGAAGGATACCCAGACATTGCATTCGGATATGCAGACTTTGGTGTACGAGAACTACAACAAATTCATCTCAGCCACGGACACGATTCGCCGGATGAAGGACGATTTTAAGCTGATGGAAACGGATGTGAATCTGCTAATGACCAAGATGCAATCCATCACCACTTTCAGTGAGCAGATTACCGGAACCCTGCAGGGAACCAGGTCGCAGCTGTGCCGCCTGTCCGAGAAACATTCGCTGCTCAAGCGGCTGCAGTTCCTCTCCACACTGCCAGCCAAATTGAAATCCCTGATCGAGGAGCAAAACTACGCCCAGGCTGTTCAGGATTACCTGCATGCCCAAAAGGTGTTTGCCCAGTACGGACGGCAGCCGTCTTTCGACGGAATACAGCGGGATTGCGACGCAATCATGGCGGATCTGAAGGAACAATTGAGGAAGGACTTTCAAAGAGCGGGTAATACGGCCCAGTCGCTGACGGAAATCGGGGAGCTGCTCCTGCAGCTGGACGAGAAGACCTCCGATCTGGCCAGCGAGATGCTGACCTGTGCGGGCAAGCGACTGCACGAGCAGATCGTCATGCTGCAGGATCAGACGGAGCGGGATATGCTGGAGTTCGTGGACATGGGCATCGATGGTTTCCTCAACGACCTGGCGCTGGTAGTGACCTCCTACTTTGACATGTTCGTGGCCAAGCACTACGAAAAAGAACGGTACATACAAAAAATTTATACTAAGCCTGCAATTGTTTTACCCATCACATACTTTTTCAGCGACGACTTCCAGGAAAACGCACTACAGGAACTAAATGTCTTCCTCAACCAGAACATCGACAAGTATCTGACTCTTGTCCAGGATCGCGTTGAATCCGACATTGGCTACGGGGACACACAGGTGATGCTGCGTGCTCTGGATCGACTTCACAGACGCCTTCAAGCAATGCGTAATATCTGCCGCGGCTTGGAGGTTCAACGCAACACCGTCTCCATCATTATATCGGCTGCCCACCAACTCTGCGATGCCCACGCAAAAAACCTGAAGGATCACTTTGCCGATAGCTTAAGCGCGGTTCGGTTGTCCCTGGTTTCCGCCAAGAGCGATGCAGCTGCTGGTCTAAATCTCAGTGATCTGATCAGTAACCTGTATGTGGCCATGGTGGAGAAGATCAAAGGCGTGCTACAGGATCTACTTATATTTCTGCGTACCGACTGGTCGTTTAACATCAAGGCGGAGCACAAGGGGACCCTATGCGTAGAGGGCATTCGGGAGAACCTACTAATCGGCTTTCTTCGCCACATTGCAAAAGTGATGTGCGGTTTCGGCGATGCTTCCAGCTCCAGTCCACCGAATCTGTTGCTAGTGCTGTCCAAAACGTGTCTTGAACTGGAGCAGCAGGGCGTCCACATACTGGCAAGCTTTGCAAAACTTATATGAGTAATTTTCTAACATTCCAATTCCTCAGATTGCCCTTGTTGATGACCTATACGAAATCGATTCGGAGAACAGTGCTACACTTACCCACGAAACTGAAATATGTGCGGAAATGCGGGAGACGGCACAGGCACTCCTTGATTCCTATGTACGGCTGCAAGGCACCAATATTTCGCAAATGCTGCGCAAGAGCGTCGAGACAAGAGATTGGCTAAACTGTCTGGAACCTCGGTCCGTGCGGGCAGTGATGAAGCGCGTGGTGGAGGAGCTGGGCAGCATAGAAACTGTGGTGGCAAGTCTTTATGAGGCAGCCACGAATACAGCTTCAGGATTCCGCACCACAGCCAGCAGTGATTCCAGCCGCAAAACGTACTTCAGTAACTTTGCTTCCACCTCCAAGCCTCAATATCGATCCAACTGGTCAAATTACACACCTTCCCAGCTGGAATCAAGCTATGTGTCCAACATACATCGCTTGTTTTCGGAGCGAGTTGAGATCTTTACCTCGGTGGAGTTTACCAAGGCCTCGATTGTAATGGGCATAATTAAAATTGGTCTCAAAGTAAGTGAATACATAAAAAGTGGCATGATGACTATTAATATTCCCTTTGTAGACCCTGCTGGAATGCGTACGGCTAAGAACTTTCAGTAAGTACGGACTGCAGCAGATTCAGGTAGATGCCCACTATCTGCAAATGAATCTCTGGCGGTTTGTTAGCGACGAAAAGTGAGTTGAATGCTACAATAAGAATATTAGGGTAATCGAAACAATGGTTTTTCAGTCTGGTCAACTTCCTGCTGGACGAGATCCTAGGCTCAGCCGTCCAACGATGCTTGGAATCTGTCCTAATGGAGCCCAACGCTGTGGAAATTATTTGTGAACGGGGTTAGTATTGGTTCCAAAACTAAAGCAACATTCCTCTTAAAATATCCGTCTATTTTGTTAAACGCTGCTAGCCTAAGGATCTTAAAATAAACGTTTGTTTCTAATATACAATTTGAATGATTTTGGCGAATGGGTAGATGAGTGGAGTTTATTTTTCTAAACGTCATCTATTAACTCCCATGTCGCCAATTTGTAACAGCTGCTAAGTAACTCATTTTAACAGAAATTATGTTCAATCTGTGGTATCAGGACTAAGACACAGGGTGAACTCGATAGTGTCGGCCTTTAGATCCTCGTCGCTGTTCGTCAGCAAAATGCTGTGGGTCTCGCCTCCATCTTCGCCTGTTGAGATGGTCAGGACACTGGGCGCCTCCTCATCGATGGCCTTTCGTTTCTCGGACCGTGCCTTCCGCGCCTCCTCGAACTCCTTTGGATGACACTTCTTGCGATGTGTGTGCAGGTTTGCATTCGAGTTGAACGTCTTCGGACAGTGAAGACATTTGTACAGCACCTCGCCCGTGTGCATGGTCATGTGTTCCTTCAACGTTATGGCCTTCTTAAAGGCCTTTCCACACACGCCACACTCGTGCTTTCTATCCGTGAGATGCACATATCGTTGGTGACTCAACATGGCGCTGCGGTTGGGCGAAACCTTTCCGCAAAGGTCGCAAGTAGCAGCGGTGCCATTATGACGTCGTACATGTTTCTTGAGGCTGTGTTTGTTCTTGTGCCAGGATCCACAGATGTCGCACTGAACCTTTGGTTCGGTAACACCGGCGTGCTCCAGCTGATGGCGCTGGAAAGCGGCTCTACCGCGTATGACCTGGGCGCATATGTCGCACATAGTTCCATAGTTGCCATGCGCCATCTTGACGTGCGTACAGAGAAGGGATTGGTTGGGGAATCTGTCCAAAACAAATATTATATCTTTAAAACTACTTAGGGATGGGTAAAATATGACCAACCTCCTCTCACAGAGATCGCACACAACATTACGCTCTTTGTGGATAACACGATGCTGATCCAACAGATACTGTTTGGTATATCTTTTGGGACACTGTTCGCAGATAAAGGTCTTCTCCTCCTCCGGATGATGCTTCAGCAGCTCATGGTTCCTCAGGCACTGTTTGTCCGCAAACCGCTTATCGCACTGCGTGCACCTGCAATGAAATGTCTCATTGATTAAGAGCCCCTTTCTTGTTATATGTATATTAGATTGGCGTCCTCCACTTTACCACTCACTTAAACTTCTCGGGATCAGCATGACGATCGATGTGATCGGTGAGAAAGGAGCGTTTGTAAAACTTTTTGTTGCAGCAGATGGCATACCCCTTCCGACGGTGCTCCTGCAGCATGTGCTTGCAGAGGAGCAGAAAGGTCTCCTGGCCCTCGTGGCAAACGTCGCAGGTGAGTCGCATGTGGGCGGCGATCTTGGCATCGATCTCCAGCATGCACTGCTTATAGTCGGCATATCGTTTTGTTTTTTGAGGGGCTTCTTCTGCTTTGCAGTTATTTCTCTTGGCTCTGGACTTGGTCACTGCAGGTTTGGGCCTCTCTTGAGGAGCTGGGAGAGTAGGTTCGAGTGCCTGGTGGGATTTACTTTTGGTGGTGGATCTCGTTTCTCTACGTTCCTCCGTGGGTAAGGTTGGTAAGGGTTCGGGATCTGGGAGACCCTTTTTGTCCGTTTCGAGATCGGATGCTTCTTTGATGAACTCCTCTTCCAGGGCCTTAGATTCACCTCGCTCCTCCTGCTGCGCTATGACATCGCTGAGGAACTGTTCATTTGTGAAGGAAGCGCTGTCGCAATCGCTGGCGGGTAAGGCTTCCTCCTGGTCTTCATTCTGCCCCTCCTGCTGGAGCTCCAAGCCCTCATCTTGCTCTGCTTTCCCCTGCTCCTGGCCGGATTTCAGCGAAAACCTTTCAGTGAGCAAACGATGTGCACTTTCAACCGCCCCATAGAACTGGTGGAAATCGTTCACCTGATTCCAGCAGGCCAAACAAATAACCGTGGATATGGGATCATCGCTTTTTGGCTGCAAAATAACAATGGTCAATATTTTCCAAAAATAAAAACATAAGAGGGACGTACCTCAAACCAAAAGTATTTGGCCAGCACATTAGCCACATTAAGGGAAAGGCCAACGTCCTCGAAAATCCGTATTGTATCCGAATCGTTGACGCTGTTGAGGCACAAACGGCAAATCATGCTTAATTCAAAGCATTTAAACTTTTAAAACAAAAATAATTTGTTTGTTGACTTTTTATCGTATGGCTGTATATCAACTAGTCAAAAATACCACAGAGAAAGCAACCGATATCGAACGGAAATTAAATCGTTAATCGATAGGCCATCCGCCAAATTTGAAATATAAAGTTGTCTTTAAATGAAATTTATATATATCTATACATACTTTTTTTTAAGTCATTTTTGTCCAATATTTTATATTATTGACAGTTTAAATTTTGTAAAAAAAACACTTTATTTAATGTTTGGAGAATTGGTAATTTATTAGATAAAGTTGAATTATTTATTTATATAATGATATAACTAATTGGGTTCAAGTTTGTTTGTAGTTTTTGTTTGTTTTCTTCTTCCTTCCTTCGCTTTAAATTAATTAATTACATTTAAAATCACAGCAGTCTTTCATTAAAAAATAGATTTATCAATGTTGTGTTTAATCCGTAGAATATAACTCTAACCATTGATCGTGTGTGTATAATAACTGAACAAACTTTCACTACATTCATAAAAAATGTTTAAAATTTAACGGAATAAAGAGCTTACCACTAATCGGAGCTACGAATTGCCAATGCAAACTAACTACTGATTTAGTAATCACCTATATTTAACATTTAGGTTATCTATATCTCGTGCGAATATAGATGAACGTACGTATCGTCATTGAACTTAGTTGACAAAATAAACACTTTTATCTCGTTTACGAATTGCACAAAAGTCGAAAGAAGTCGATATTATCGACTCGATATATAGATATAGTTAAGTTCTAAATATTGATATTTTACGGCTAGAACGAACGTTAGTTTCCTTTGCATGAAATTTCTGCTACTGGAATGTATTTTAGTTGCTCCAAAACCTTGCGCCACCCAATTTGTATTACAAATTTTCTAAACTATGTTGGCATGTGCGTAATTCGTTAATGTGTATAATATGTTTGCGAATATTTTAAATATTTCTACACGTATATACACGTTCCGCGTTGAATTAAACTAGCTAAAAATCGGTGTGGTCGACGAACAATTGAAGAAAGTGTCTATAATTGATATTAAAAATTTTGATTACGCTACTGAACTCGAAAAACGGGAAAGGGATATTCTTGGCTAGGAAATTGGAAACTAATTCCTGTCCAATTGCTAATGTTTTAGGATGTCTATATCGTACATATCGGCTTTAATCACAGCTACGCAGAGTTTAGGCAAGGCGAGTAGTCATTATGGGTAGCTAGCAGGGCGGGTCTCCTAAATTTAGCCTGCCACCTGCTGCATGGTGATGGTGCTGATCAACTGCTGGCAGATCTTTCCGTACTCGAACTGGTCCCCGGAAATGCGGCGCAGCTTTATCCCCTTACCAGCTCCATGGGGATCCCGGCTGCGACCCTCGCACACCTGCAGCTCGATCTGCAGGCCGCCTGAGTACTCCAAACTGAGATTGGTGGTTGGCTCTCCATAGGCAGAGTGTGAGGCCAGAAGCGAAGCCGCCTCGCAGGCCAATGGATTCGAGCTGGATGCATTAGAAGCACTGCTATGTCGCGATTCGGCGCCGCTGTCCTCCGAGCTAATGCTTCCCTTGTGCAGCACAAAGCCCTTGGGCGGCATAGTGGAGTCGATGGTCTGCTTCACCATCTCCAGGATGCGGGTGGAGTCCAGATTGGAGCACTCGTGTGGCAGCGGCACCTCGTAGCACATCTCATCCGACATGCGCCGCGAGTCGCACATGGAATCGGGTGTCAGATGGCCGCACTCGGTGTGATCACCCATCTCCGAGTGGGAGTCCGACTTGAATCCAGAGCTGGCGGATGGCTCCTGGCAGGGTGACAAGTTATTCGAGTCATTGCTTAGTGAGTCGTCTGAGAAGCCAAGCGATTTGTCACTGCCCCGCCGGCATTGAGCTTCGGTCTGAACCTGGGATTGGGATTGGGCGGCGTGAGATGAGCTAATGCCCACTGGACAATGACTTCCTCCGCTCGATTCGCAGTCCAGACTGGCTTTACGTCCAATGCCCCTCGTAATTGATGGCATATCGCTGCTGGGCTCGGTAATGATCAGTCCCTAGCAAAAGATTAAAAAAATTAAATGAATATCCAATTTGCCACTGATTGCTGAAGCATAACCAGAGCAATAAGTTGATAAATTCTGAGGCTAGAGCCGTAATTACCTGCAAAGACATAACAGGAGTGTGCTGTTCCAAAGAGTCCTCGCTATCGCGACTGTTGTCTGAGGACAGAGCGACCAAAGTTATCTCGCTGCCCTGGACATCGGTAAGGCATATCTGCGGCGTGATCCCTCCGGTACAGCCCGCATACGGAGTGCCCGTGCTGATAGTGTGACACATCTGCCCGTTTCCATTCTCCTCCTGGATGATGCACAAGTTGGGTGACGCTGGCGGTGTGGGCACGACCCTTACGGGTTGTGCTGGCGATAGATTTAGCGGTTTTAGATCATAATACGGGGTCGTGGGCATAAACCAATTGGTGGCTGCATAGTCCGTGGGCTGCTGATCCAACACACCGCCACAAACATCCATTGACAGGTCCAGAGGTTGATTGGCAGCGGCGGCTGCAGCGGCTCCTTCGCTTGCGGCCGAAGTGCCCCTGGTGATGGACCCACCAGCGCCACCAGTAGTCAATCCAGAGATGCCCTTGGTGATCTGGTGCAGCGGTGAGGAGCCACCGCCGGGGCAGGGCAGGTAAGTATTGGGTGAGCAACTGCCACTGAAGCTGGTACTATAAACCGGCGACTGGCAGCCACTGCTCGAATTCGAGTTGCTGGCTCCCAGGTTGATGCTGCTGAACTGACCCACCAGCTGCTGTTGATGCTGCGGCTGCAGGGCCAGGGTCATCGGTTGATATTGCGTATAGCCACAGATTGGCTGACCAAACATCTGCTTTGCGGAGGTCAGAGAGGCATTCACGGCTCCACCCTGCGGCATGCTGAGTGGGGAAACACTGAAGCTGAGCATATGTTGCTGCTGCTGCTGTTGCTGCAAGTGCAACAGGTGACTCTGATCGAGGTGCCCTCCACTGACCGCCGCCGCACTCGAGGCATGAGCTGCTAGACCCAGAAGCGGAGCCAAATCTATCGGCACCACATGCGTTGAGATTATCTTATTGGCTATTTCGAAGCTGACCCTCTGCTCCTTCACCAGGCGGTCCAGGGCGGGCATCAGGTTCTTGATGGCTTCCGGGGGAACTTCAATGTCATGGCCACGCCGCAGAGCTAGCTGCAAGCCCATTCCAGGTTTGCCATGTATGGGCGAACCTAAGAAAACAGGGTTACAAATTAGTTACATTCCTAAAGAGAAATAAGCTTGAGACGAAGCTTGTGGCGTTAATTTTGGTCTGCTCATTTATCTTACCTGGCAAACTGATCGAATTTTCTAAAAGCGGCGGACTGGGTGCAACCAAAAAGTTTCTCTGTGCAATACCTTTCTGCAGCGATTGGCATTCCTGCAGCGGTCCCTGGAACTGGCTCTTGGATCCCTCAGAGGCTCGACGCACTGGACTGTAACGTCCTATTGTCGCTGAATGGCAAGCAGCAGGGGTTAAAACACAGAAAGAGAAAACGGAGGGAGAATGTGAACCAATTGTAATCGCAGCTTAGTTTATAGAGTATTTGCAACAAGAATTCGTCTACGTTTTGATAAACTAAGGTGGTTTAGGTGTGTCAAATAAAATAAGAAAACTAAAATAAAATGAAAAGCAGATTAAAACAGTACATTTAAATTAATCAGGGGTGTGAGAATGATATAAAGCAATTTTTAAATGATTATAGTTTCGTTTCGACACTCTGATCTTAAGCTAACTCCAACAGGACCCAGCACAAAATCTCAAGACTTACCACCCTCCTGAACAGTGGGTAACTTCGAGTGGACCACCCGATGGATGCGGCGGTTGTTGCCCGCCACCAAGGGCACGGAGCCACATCCGACCGCCACCAAGGGCAGCGAGTGGGGCGGCGACACGCCCTTCGACATGCCCAAGGGCAGGGCCACGCCCACCGGGTATGTGCCATTGGGGGGCGATTGGCTAAGAGATTTCAGGGTGGGTGGCAGATAGTCGCGGTTCATGCGAGACTCAACCTCGCGAATTATTTCGGGGGGAATCACTATCGGTTATGCGGATAGGCAGAAGGGGTTTTTAAGCAGCAAGATCAGGAGCGGTAGCGGTTGTAGTTGTTGTTGTTGTGCAGTAGCGGGCGATGCAAAATTATCAATTGCAACAAACCAAAAATGTTTACATAAAAAGAAAGTTCAAAAAGCAAAACATTAAATCAATATAGGAACAAAATTATACTAAATTTATGTATTAAAATAATATTGATTTACTAATGAAACAATATTTCTCAAAGTGGTTCAACTTAAGACCAAATAAAAGCTATTTAAAAAGCCATGCAGATAAATTGATTAATATTTTGAGCCAATTTGGTTGTTTAATCATAACGTAATTTAGATTCAATGATGTGTTTATTCTGTTTCAAAATAATAAAATTATTACAGTATTCCAAAGTAATATTTTACGGCAGCTTGAAATTTCTACTAAACTAAATGGATTTAATCAAAACAAAATCAAGTTTTCCAGAAGATTTAGAATTTTTTCAAACTAGTTCTGGATATTTTAAAAATGTATAAAGATTCATTTTAAGTTTCCTTGGTAGCCACTTAAACGCACCTGGCGGCCGTTCGGTGACCGTGAGCAGTCCAGTTCGCCGCTGCCGCATATTGGAGGAGGTAGTTGGCGCCTGGGATTGCGATCCGGGTCCCGGTCCATGAGTCACGGAGAGATCGTCCGTGCATCCCACCGTGTGACGCTGGGTGAATCCTCGCTTCTGCATATAACTACAAGGGAAAGCATTGCCATCATATCCTTAAAACGAAAGTAAGTGAAAGTAAACCTCTGGAGCTCCTCATTGCATTCGCCGGTGGCATTCTCCTGGCAGCACTGCATCTGCGCCGTCGCCTGCTCGTTTAGCGGAGACAGCTCCTGCACAGCCAAGGGGTCAGTGCCACAATTGGGATTGATAAAGTATCCGGCTGTGTCCATTTGCTGACCCTGAG